ATGTACAATGTAGGAAAATAAAAGGTTTTTCAACCCCAATGTTAATTTTTTTAAATTTTTAACCTAAAGTAAAATATTCGAAGACCATACACTAAATATTAAATAACGAATTACACATATTTCGAATCATATATGTAGTTGGTACTTTTAACTTAGCGCCGGATTGCCTACCAGGGTGGCTGAATTAGGTACACTAATATCAAGTTACACTCAAAACGAATTGAATAATCACTAGTTTTTTGAAGAGTCGTCATTTCTTAAGGGCAACGAAGTGCTCTACATCAGCTAGTATTATATGTGTGTACATGAGCAATAAATACTGGTAGAATAAAGTAATAGAATAATAATATTACAACAATAAAGGTGAAAATTCGTCATAATTTGTTCATGTCAGTTTTCATGCATCGCTTGCTTCAGTGCAGTTAAGTGGTGATATTAAAAAAGTAAACAATGATAATGATATGAATAATAATATTATTTCTTGTATCCTTTTTCTTCTTTCTTATTGCCCTTCGCTCCGGGCTAAATGGGGTAGATCACTCTTGTCCTACATCTCCATATTATGGTTATGACTTCTTCACTCATATCAGCCATTTACCTGTCATTCTCTAATCTGTCTAACAGTCCCTAATTTGGAATTCTGTACTTTGTTTTCTTCTAAATTAATTTCTAAAACCATTTTCCACTGCATCCGACTTCTGAGAAGAGGTGCTTCTCATAACATGATCAAACCATTTCAACCTATCCGTCCTCATTTTGTGTACAATTGGTGCCACTTCAATACTGCCCCTAAATAATTAATTTCTAATTCTAATTAGTAACCATCGCATACAATAAGACTGCATATTAATTGTGATTGCTTATTTATAGACAATTTTTGTTTACTAGGTAGTATATTACTTTTAAACAGCAATAAAAATGTAATGTAAAGTAAAATAATAATGTCACCATTACATCATAGATAGCTTTAAATAAATATTTTTACTCACGGTGTAATAATAACACGGATACAATATTGATACTTATTATTAAAATAATAAATGTACTTTTTTGAGACATATTTAGAGTCATTTTCGATGAAAAACACAATACCGCTACAATAGTCTTCAAATGCTCAAATGAAAATGATATATTGTTCACTACCTTCGAATGTATAACTAAGCATATCTAAAGTATATTATTTATTGCGTATATCGATATTCTTGCTAGTTTAACCAACTGAGTACACTCGAACACAAAAACATATGGAATCGGAATATTGAATTATTGATATTTTATGGAATTCAGTTTCAAATAATAAAATTTAAAAACATTGTAGAATAATATTGTCGATTGTCTTGCACATACAACTCTATTTAAGTGTAAGAAAATTGAAAAATGTCTAGGTAAAATATTTGCAATAATGATTTCCATATATGCAATTTAGTTAATATATTATAGGAGTTACTATTAAGAAGCTCAGATGTTATAACTCAGGAAAAAACCTGTGGGCCTGTATAAGTACTCTAAGGGATTTCCTTTTATTTAAACATCTAAACATATTTCTGGTGACACGGAATTATTGGTGCATAAAAACTTGGACTCAATTTTTATTTTTCAAAGGTTATTCATTTTTTGGGGTGATTGTAAACACCACCAGAATACAGGGTAAATAAAAAGGTAATGAAAAGGTTTAATGTAAACTCCGTTGTTTTTATTTTCTTACCTGTAATTTATGTATGGAAACTCCGCCAGTACTTATGTAAGACTTAATAATATATCTCAACTAATGAACCTCAAAAATCCAAATGATAGTGTTAGAAAATGTTATAAATAGTTATGACTATAGCTCGGAAGTTGATGACCTTAAAAACATTAAAAAATGACATAAAAAAGATGCAAAAATGACGAAAAATACCTTTAAAAAATGACCTAGAAAATTACAAATATTTGTTTTAAATTTATAAAAATACATTTTTTCAAACATTTTACTCTATTTTACTATAAAATTCTATATACATTTATCAAACCATACAAATTACTCAAAAATCATTGCATTGTATGATTAAGGCGTTTTTGATGTTATCAAAGGTAAATGAATGACGATTATCTGTTAATAAATATTTATACTTTGAAAAACTTCTCTCCACGTCCACTGAAGTGATTGGGGCAAATCTAAAATGGGCCAAATCATCAGCACTGAAATCATCCAGAAAACACTCTCTTGAAGCTACTTCGTCATTTAGAATTTTCGAAATTGTTGACATCGTTTGAAATCCAGTATTTTTGTCAAGTACAGTTTTTAATTTGTTTTTAATTTCATTTCCGATTCTATTAACTGCTGCTAATTTAATTTTAATAACAATATCGTGTACAATTTGTATCGAATCATAAAGCCGGAGTCCTGAAGTTTCTAACTTGGTAATAGAATCGGGTAGAGTTCCAAAGATTGCGTTAATGTAAATTAAATTATGTTTTACATTATCATCGCTCATAAGATCCTGTGCTTTTTCAATTGACGCAGAATCATCTTTATTTAGACCCATAATAATAGTTTTTACTATTTCAAAATGTTCACAAAAATAAGTAGCAGATTTTAACCATGTAACCCATCTTGTCAATACTGGTTGTGGTGGTAGAGGAATATTAGGTGCCATTTCCTTGAGATATTGAACACGTGATGGACATTTCAAAAATATTTTTTTGGTGTTCGATATTAATTGATCTACTTTTGGGAAGTGTTTTCGAATCTCTTCCGAGACCCTATGTGTAATTCATGAGCGTCTGGCCAGTTGTTTGAACTTACGTGTTCCATTTTGGAATACAGGATTTTTATGCCTCTTCCAGCTTTCTCATCTAGGGAGCGGCATCACTTAAAAACAACAAAATATTGTCATGCTTTATTCCTTGAGGCCATAAAATATGTAGAGATCTAATAATTTTTGCGATAGTAGTATGGTTAGCTTTTTCTAAAATTGCTGAATTGAGCAAAAATATTTTTCCCGGGTTTCCGACTTCCAATGTACCGATAAATGATAATTACGTTTGCCACATATCGTCCTACTGAATCCGTGGTTTCTTCTATAGAAACCCATAGCTTTTGATTTTCGCAATAACCTCTTATTTTGTTAATACGGTCTTCGTAACATTCAGCAACATAGGTTTTCCTTAGCGTTGATTCGTCAGGAATACTTTTGTGCGTGTATTTTTCCAAAAATGTACGGAATAATTCATTCGATATTTTGTGTAGAGGAATATTGGCTGATAAAAGAGCTTGACATAAATCGTAATTAAAAGTAGATTTTTTTGACGAAAACTTTGACTTTGTTTTAAATGTTTGCGTTCTATTCCATTTTTATGTTTTATACGGGAAATGTGTTGTTCAATAGAAAATTTTTTTCTGAGGCCACCTTTACTTCACATACTTTACAGTAAAGAACTGTGCCATCGGAAGAAAAAATATCGTCGCCGAATTCCGACACAAATGCACGCGGACGAGCACTAACCGACGTTTTAATTTTCGGCATTTCGAAAATATTACAAAAAAATAATAAAATGTAGATACAATATTATTTACTATTATACGAAAACGACGCGACGACTGTAATCGGCTAGATAAAATCGGATAGGTACTAATCTTAGTCCGTGGTAATTTCCAAGTTTTAAGTTATCGGCATAGACAAGAAACGATAAGAAGTGAACTAGTATGAAATCAATAAAAATTACTAAAAATGTCGAAAAATGAACTAAAGATGACAAAAACTGACTTAAAAGGAAAAAATGCATAAAAATGCAAAATAAAATTTAGTTTTTCAGATTCACATGCTAATGAAACACAATTGTGACCAGGAGAGCATCGTCTAAAAAGTTCCAAAAAAAATGCAAAATGCCTCAACTTCCGAACCCTAGTTATGACAATGGATTTATATTAGACTGAGTTGTCAGAATATGTACAAATTGTATCTCATTATTTTAGTTCACAGTTCCACATATTATAACATAACATAATAAACTTAGGTTGCTGATACATATTTTATATTATTACAATTATTTATTATGATAATACAATAATACCTACACATGACAGTTTGGATGATTTCTTCTGACAATCTGACATTTTCAAACTTCTGACATTTTTATTTTTATTCATTTTTGTATATTTTTTGGGATATTATAATAATGTATATGATATCTGTCCTATATATTAATTTTATACTGTGACTTGATTTTCTTCACTGACAAAGTTTACATGAACCCAATTTTACCTGTTTTTTTTCCTAAAAAAAGGTAATTGTGGTGGAGTTTACATGCGCCCCATTTTTTGAACCATGAATTGGTATCATAAGTAGGTAGTCTCATTATACAGCATAATTTGATTAATTTTTCGTTTAATTTACTGTTTTGATACAGAATTATAATTATATTTTTCTTTCACTCCCGCCAATATTTATTTAGTAGAATAAAAATAAAAAATAAAAACTGCCTTGAGTACAACTCGAATTTTCATTAATTTTAATTTAGTAAACCTATAATATCTGAGATGGTATTAAAAATGAACGGAATAAGTGAAAGGTGAACCGTGATATTCGAAAAAAAATTAGCTGTGATGGCTGCCAAATCTATCGGTTAATAACAGGTATACTTCAATGTTACCATAGTGTATTTCGAATACCAGAGAGTTAACTCGACGTGCCGTATGAGATATACGGGACATTACACTACACGAAGAGGTATAAATTCACATTAAATTCATACTACTAGCATGGTATATTTTATACCTGCAGTTACCACTAATGTGTAATTTACCTTAAAACTACAATCTTAATTAAATATCTGAATACAAACAATTAGAACTATGGAAAGTACTTAACTACGAACAATAAATAATAAATAAATAGCATGTCGACAATAGTAAACTATTTACTGGTAACTATAACAGTTGGGTGGATGGGCTTGGACACAGCGGGGATATAAGGTGTTCTACACTTATGTTTCCTAAATGCGTGTAACTATAATAAACATAATCGACGACTTAATATATTACACTATAAGCTATATTATACAGAAGTAATGCACACAAATTAGTATTATAGACACCTAGGTATTATTTTCATAACATTCGAATTTCCATTTTACAAACTTCCATTAAAAAATTAATTTATGACACTCCACTATAAACTAAATATTACATACCTAACATTTAACGACTATAATATATCAAATGATTAGTGTCGATTGCACATTATTCTCAGGTCATTTAGTTTATGTATTTAGATGTCTCATGTATATTACATATTTACATGTATATAATTATAACAACTGTATTACCGTTATGTTGATTTTATTATACATGTTTGAGCCAAAATAACTAAGATTTACATAATAACATTATTTTTTGGCGTAAGAGGGTTAAAATTTTGATTTCAATTAGTTGTTTGTTCTGATTCTTTTTAATTTTTAAATTAGGTATCTATCATGAATTTCACTATTTGGCAGGGGTGGCCAGAGTACAAGTAGCTAATGAGCTAGTGTGCTGGAGCCTGTATGTAACCCCCCCCCCCATCTTTCTTAAAATGTCGGAACAACAACGTTTGATAATATTAATTATTAGTTATTACTATTATATATGGTCAGTTTCAATATTGGTTTATCATTTAGAATGCTGGACACCTCCCAGCCAGCGTTTGCTATATGGATTAACTGCAACGGGTTTCCTGGGAATCATCATGACTACTTCTGATTTCAACATTATACCTATTATACTTAAAATATTTTTAATCTGACTGGTTCCTGAATTAATAGCAAACACGTAGGTGACAGTTGTTAAAGGCACACGTTGTCGAGAAGGCGTGGCAAACACTTTCCACACAAATATATTGTGCACTCCCTAATACAACATAAATTATAGTTATTTATTAAACCTACTAATTATTGCAGTATTTAAATACATAACGGTTCATTTTTTTATCAATAGCAAATAATATAACAAGAAGATTATATTATATAGATAATGTGTTTCTAAACTTGTTTTTGTTACCATGGTGCCAAAGTATTATGTTTATAACGTCAATTCATTAAAAAGAGAACGTTCTTTAGTAAATACTGGTATCATGTAAGTAAAAATAATTTGATTAACTTTTAGCTATATATTATAATTTGTTTCTTACGATTTGTTTGAAAACAGTGACAGAAAATAGAAAATAATTGTTTTGACTTTTGATTACCTACTGTTTTTTTTTTTGAATATTTGAAATTAGAAATTCAATTTGGTAACATTTTTTATTGGGCAAATAAAGAAAGATACAGTTAATACGGTAGATGGGAGCTGTAGAGCACTCAAACAAATTGTCAGTGGCCGTGAAGAATGGAGGAGGGATTATGCAGCAAACCGACTTACGGGTTGAAAAAAAACTTTTTTCATTTATACACTGAATGTGTTAAGACTTGGGCGTATTTTATTATTTTATGTAAGTACCTACCTGTCCTACCTATTATTTGTTAGCCTTTCTTATTAGTAAAGTAGATACCTATATAATCGGTTATAAAAAATACAAGCAATCATAAAGTATTTTATAAGAATATTATCAATGACGTGTGGCCATATTAAAAATATCATCATTATTCTTATACTATTAAACGGAAATACATTTGTCCACTATGAGAAATGATATAGTGCCAATAGTCATTACTATTGCCAATATGATTAGTTGTATATAGATCCCAAACTGATTGCTGTAAAAGAAACTAATGGCTGCTGACGTTGCCTGCAAAACATTTGGATTATATTATTTAAAAAATATCAAAAACAAAAAAATCGCCTTATTTGGCGGTTGTAGTAAATTACCTGCATAAACATGAATAATGACGTGGCGGAAGCACTGTTATTCGAGTACTTCACTCCGATTATATTGTATATTTGTGTGGTGAAACCACTGTCTCCTAAGCCCAAGAGAAAACCGCAAAATACAGCCAAGTGTTGACTAAAATTAATAATATTTTCACTAAATAGTTGTTGAGATAAAAAAAAAAAACAAATCCAACTGTTTATAAAAATATTTTCTAAAATATGATAAATGTGTAATTGGAAACATTTTTTTTTTAAATGTTCTACTCCTATTATATCAATATATATAATAATAAAAAATATATATCATTATATATAGGTACCTATTATTATGGTGAGTTATTTTTGTCATTTGAACATCGAACATAATATATATTTGTATTTTATACATTATTTAGTTATAGCCACGGGCTAATATATAATGGACTGGAAACGATCAACTTATTTGTGACCACGAATGTATGTATAAGAGACAATCGCAGGAGGTCGCAATGGAGAACAAGATTTTACAACGCCATTTGTATAGAACAGGGGTGGGCAACTGGCAGCCAACGAGCCTTTTTTATCTGGCCCGAGTTATGTTTTCAAATTACATTATAAACAAAATAAATGATAGTTAAAATTTATATTTTCAATGTCCCCCCCCCCTTTTTTATCTCTATGCTCTAGCCCGCTAGATTTTAATTTCCTAAAAATTGGCCCTCTAGTAACTTTGAGTTGCCCATCCTTGGTATAGAACATGGACTAAGATACAAAATGTGACGCCAAATAAAACCACAGGGTGAAAACATTCAGCCCTTGTGTGTAGAATCTTTTGGTGGCCGTCCTCCCAGTACCCAACGGAACATGTCGTTTCCAGTCAATTACATCTAAGTATGTGGTTTTAGATCAATTAATATTTAATAACTAGCTGATCCCGCGCACTTCGTTGCCCGTTGAAAATGCCAAATCTATATACGAGACTCGTTTTTTATAATGCGAGCAGTATATTATCAGGTAGGATATCATATAATATTCTCCGGAAGAAATTATTTTTTTATAATTTAATTTAAAAACATAAGACTATTTTTTGGCTACACAAATAATACAACGATTATAAAATAAAAAAAAACAGGCATCGTTATCGGTGAATATGTGAAAATAATTGGTAATTAGTTAATTATTATTATTATTATTATAATGAGGGTTCAAAACCGGTTTCCTTCGTCTCCAAAATCAAGTTAGATTCTTATATATTTAGATTATAGTACATACATCAAGATAGGACAGGTGTGATTGTATTTATATTGATAGAGAGCCAATATAATAAGAGAGTGGCTAACTGAGTAGATAAGAGCCATGTTTCGACAAAAAAAATTGAATTAATATTGCAAGTAATACTGTATTATATACATATAGTAAAGAATTGTAATAATTTACCAACAATTTTAAATCATAGATTTTTAAAAAATGACATACTTAGGTTTGATAAACGATTTGGCGTAAGTATCGCCGAACGGAGAATCATTAGGCAGATTTACAAAGATCAAGCCGTACGCTACGATGTTGATGAAAAAACTGATAATTATTACGGTTGAACGACTTAGGCCACTAAATTTTGAATTGAATCTCCCAGACTTTTTACCCAAAACGCTGCATAGCAAACCACCTGTAATCATTGCATATGTATATCATAGTCTTGTACAGTTCCATGTTCTATGTCTCATAATAATACACATGAAAATATAATGTATAAGTGGCGGTCAAATAGGGCGACGTGGGGCATGAACCTCCAAGACCTTGTTTTCAATGTTTATAATAACTTATAGACATATTGGTAAAAACCAGTAAACATAAATTATATTTTAATGAACAATTAATGTATGTTCAAAAATCAACTACATCAAGCCCCCCCCCTCCCCGCTCTCCTCAATGACAAAAATAATTTGAACACCACAGCAACGTATAACGTTAATTATATAATGTAAACCTGTAACTTCTCCGACTCCGACTAGTATTCCCGTGTAGCCCAACAGTTGTTTGGTGTTAGTGCCTATGGATTTCGTGAACGCGATGCACGAACTGTACACCCCACTGTAAAGGGATACATGCAGACCTGCAAGTAAGTAAAGTTTAGAATAATTAAGAAAATAGCCAGTATTTGCCACAGTCAACATATTGCAAAAATCATCATAATTAAATATTTTTTACTTTATTTGAAACTTAAGTACCTTGTTTTGTTGGATGTACGAGTACCTTTCGATGGGATTACACCTTGCTACCTAGGCTGTAGTAAGTCATAACTTATAAGGATTGAACGAAAAAATCAGTTGCAAGTCTGGTATATAGAAAAAGGAAAGCCGAATTTGAATGTATAGTGCTTTGTATACACAGCTTAACAATTTTTATTTATTGATGAATTACTTAATACCAATATATTTAATTTATAGTTTATACTTATAATTTATAAGTAATCTGAATGATCTTGACAATTTTCAATTTTATTAATTTTTAGTAGTTATTTCACTGTTATTTATGAATCTTTTACATGGATTATTTATTTTTTATACAAACCCTAAATACCAGGACCATGTTACCAATAAATACCATAAAAATACCGAGGAACCGATTTTGTACGCTTAATTTTGTCATGGACATGTGTGGCCGAAATAATATGTATGTGCGTTGCTCGAATTTTCACTTACCAGTGTACAAAAACAATGTGCTTAGCAAAAGCATGTCATTGGTCATCAAAAGCCTCATCGAATCCCTGAGTTCTTGTTTCGGAATCACGCTAATTGGTTTCTGTAAGTTCACTTCATTTTCCTTGCCATCAGCATCCATGGACGGACGCAAGACCATCAGTATCAGAGTGCCGAAACCACACACCACTGCCAACACGGTGAACACCAGCATTCTGGTGGACTCGTTCAGCTCGGTCTTGTTACGGAGCACCAATATCATAAAAACGTTTCCAATACATATGCTGTAAGTATGTTCCGTACATACGGGGGGTTCGGAAAACAAAATAATTTAAATAAATGAGTATGTATACCTATAGATAATACTATACAGGCGATACTAATCAGTGTTGAGGCCAGGACTTTTTCGTGGATTAGGGGGGGGGGGGGTAATCGGACATAATAATAATTTTGTGTATTATATTTTATCGAGATTCCAAAATTAAATTGATATCATAAATACAATTTGTTGCTGTGATTACCAATCATAGGGTATATTGGTGTGGCTGATGCGTGCATCTTATATTCTTATTCTATCTAATCTCGCACTCAATATCTAGAGCCGTCCGGTGCGTAACTCTCGGGAAATAGGTGACATCCTCGTGGATACGGGGGTGATCAAAACGGGTGTCATGTGATTCACTGATTATGCTCAACTCCATTTTTTCTTTTAACAATGCAATTTTTCAACTTTTGATTTTTGGAATGCATTTTTAAACATATATTTTAGTGATCACATTTTTTACAAAACAACCCATTCGTACTCTATAATGTACGCCTACGAGGGTGAAAACCAAATTTTGACAAAATCTAAGTTTTTCTTTTTAGTCAATAATTTAATTTTGGATTCAAATATTATTAGTACTTAACGATGAAAGTTGGTATAACACAACTTAAAAATACCTTATTTTCGACATGGCCCAAAATATTCCTGAATTTCTGGATATGGTCGACGAGTCCGAGTTCATGGTCAGATAAGTGCCCTGTCCAGTCCAAATAATTGACGCGCCGAAACCTAGCAACACAGACGTGGTGTACAGCAGAATATTGGACGGCCATAGGAACGGCGTCAAAAACAATCTGTAAATATTACGTTTCCGCACATGGCATAATATTATCAAGTAAATTTCTTAGTATTCGACTGCTCAAAATAAAAATATGAATAATTAATTGTTCTAAACAGCTGCAATTATAGCGTATAAACATAATGTAAATATTTTAGTAAAATATACGAACACGTAACATATCGATCCCAAATAAATAGATTTTCGGCTACCAATTGATCCAATTATTGCCGGTGCTAACCAGTTGCACAAAGCAAATACGCCATATATGATACACAGACTTGTGTACCCGTCGCCTGTAAATGAAGGATCGTCTTTTTCGATACTTTTCAATACTGTTTTCTGAATTCAATATAATAGTTATATATTACGTAATATAATATTGTTTCATAAATATCATACCCTAAGTTCTTACGAGGATACATGTATATTATTTATTATTATGTGGATATTATTATATTAATAATTTATCGACTTTCAGGATTCAAATAAATTATAGGTATTACAATAATAAGTAATAAGTCGTGTATGATTCCATATAAAAACTGTAATTATAATATTTTAACATTGGCGTATAACAAGACTAAAAGAGGTGTCTAAAGTTGTTTGAGCAATTTTCACAAATTTTTCTAAATTTTGAGGGGAAAATATACGCGTTATAAGTAGGTAGGGTAGGCTACGGGCAAAATTAATTTTTTCATGGCTGTCTTACTAAATTATAATAATTAATATTAATAATTGAATAGTGATTTTACCTCGATATTGCTCACGGTCAAAAACGATGTAAACACAAACATGAAACCTAAGCCTAAAATGCTGATATTCATTAGTCTCTTGTCCATTGTAAAAGTACTGCTTTACTGATGATTGATGTATATCTATAAACAAAGCACAACAAATTGTTTAAGATGCATAATTTTATAAATAAAAAATAAAATAAAATCGGGAAGTTACTCTGCTACTGATTTTGAGTGTTCCTTGTTATTGAGTATACTGCAAGTAACCCGTAAGTTGTAACTTTAATATTGTTACGTCAAATAATCAAATTTGAATTTAATGATAAATGTTTGCAAATGAGCCTTAATAGTAACGGTGCAACATGTTAGCTTCTATTTCAAAGGATATTTTTTAACTAATTTACTAATACACTGATTAGGTAAACTACGGAAATTAATTTGACTTGAAATTATATTATGAAGTTTATTTTGTAATATTTTATGGAAAGTGAATTTTAATATAATTTGTACTAGCTTTAGATTTTATATTATAGGTACACATTTCATGCATACGGAGATTATTTTTTAAATGGAGTTTTTCCGTCAATAAAAAAATATATAACTATGTTTATTGTAAAACTATTATTTATTAGTAATTTATTTATATATTATTAATAGCATTTAATAAATTACAATATTACATTATTATTATTAACTTATTAGTTATAATTTAGTGATCTTGCACTATATGATAATATGATTTGAAAACCAAGTAAATTATCTTAAAACTTTATAAATTGAGTTCAACAAACCTGTGTGTTTTATTTTTACCGGAGACCTTCGCTGAGTAAACCGTCTTATCCCCAGAATATCAAATAGTCGACTGCAGCTCTAATTTTTGTTTAATAGAACGCTCTAATAATTATCAAGCGGTTGATAATTATTAACGATCGAATGTTTGTGATACATCATAATCTTTGGTTTCGTGGTATGGACTTATTTACGTAGTGATTTTATTGTTCGCTGCATTTCGAAGCAAATTAACGAAATACGTATCATACGAAAACCACATATAAACTGTATATTATTCTAATACGTATACATGGTGTTATCGGTTTTTACAATTAATACAGTATTTTATAGTACATGATTTAAATAAAACATGATAGTATACGTGATATCTTATACGTGATTTATCATTTATAGATTTTAAAATGATGGTGCACTCTGAATTGGGGAGTAAGTCATAGTTTTAAAGTCATAACCATTTAGAGTTGGTAATTTATATGGTATTGCTTAAATAGCTAATTTGGCTATCACTTTAATATTATATCGTAGTTCGAAGGAAAAACCGTGATGGGTGCTCTTTTTACCCTGTGACTGGTTATGTATAACAAATCGAGGAATGTTTCCAAACATTTGAAAGTAGGTTCAACGTAGTAAAATAAAAAGAGTAATCTATACAATTTTCAAAATAACACGAACATTGTTAAATTTAAAAAAAATATGAAAACTATAATATTATATTGTAAGGGTAAAAATTATGAAATGTAATAACAATAAGCAATGTTCAGTGGGGCCCATTAACTTCTTGAAGAATACATTTTAAAAAATTAAAAAATTCAGAGGCACTCGGGGACTGCCTATTGTATAATAATTTAGTAGCTATGTATCATGTATTTTTGTATGATATTAATTCAAGTTACACTTTTTAAGCGCGGCGACCGAAAAGAAAAAAAATTGATCTTACGACTTTCGGTCACACTTTTTCCTTACGAAAAATATTTTTCAGTCACCACAAAAGCTATGCAATAGCTTAAAAATATGATAAGTATTGTCATTATTATCTTGTATAATCTACCTATTCTATGTAATCGGTATATTATGAAAGTAAAAAAAAAATTATTTATTTGTAGTCAAACTATTTATTTACTGTAGGACGTGAATACAACATCACTTGCATTAGTTGTATATAAAACAGTCTCCAACCTTATCAAAATTGAAAAAAAAAAAAATTTCAACTATTGTATAGCCAAATTTGTATCGTGTTCCATAAGTAAAACGTTGTGAGGTAGTTTGGCTCCTGCAGAAATCTGGTCCCAGTATGAGATAAAATTCCGTAAATGAAATTTAAAACTCGATCTATACGTATTTTATCACATTGCACGATTTTATAGAACAATTATCTGGAAAGTTGTTTCGTATGCACATAATATTGTTCTTGAACTTTGAACTACTCAATAGTCGAGTCTGTAATGTCACTAATAAACGCATGAAAACAACTCGAATAATGTTGCTATAAACACTCGATATAAATTGTAAACTCAGTATTATACTGTACTCACTAGTCACTACTTATTCAAAATTAGCATAATGATAAATTAAAGAGTTGTATCTGGGATGCATATTAAATGGCATTATAATAAACATAGAAAAACATTATAATTTGCTAAATAACTACATTTTTATGGTGGAATGTCAACATATAACGAGTATTTTTCAACACTGCTTTTCACAAAATGATATCATAGACAACAATTTTTCACAAACAAAAAATAAAAGAATAAAGAGGTATAAGATTCAATTTAAAAACAATATATGAAATAATATTATCGATTGTCATGAACATACAAGTGCATTAAATTGTAAGAAAAATGAAAAACGTCTATGTAAAATGTTTAGCGCTTGCAATAATTATTTCCCGATCAAAATATTAATAATAATATTAATATTATTAATTTGATTAACTTAGGTATAGATAGATTGATAAATGTTTAAAGAACCAAATTTTTTTAGACATTTTTTTTTCTTATTCTAGGTAATTAAGGCCCAATATCACTTCCATAATAATTCTTCATACTTCTCTATATTATGTCATCTACTCATCTCCACTGTATGACTGTATCCAACAACACTTTTAAGATATTTAGATCTCTTTCGTGATCCTCACAACATGACAACATTGACTAGGCCTTCCGCTTGGTACTTTCTTTTTTATTTGGTCTCTTTTTTGTAACTGTTCATATAATTCCATCCTCTCCTTACTGCCTGGCCCACCTTATTCTGTGGCATTTGAGTATGCGAGTATGCCACTTTGTTGGGATTGTTAAATAAAGTAGGTAGATTAAGTAATTCAATATAATGATGTTAAAAATATTCTGATGGTACCTATACTCATTTTGAATAATATTTATATTTATTGGCCACTATAAAACGGAACAGTATTCCAATAAGTATAAATAAATTTGTACCACGGTATGCAATCCCTCTCCACAACATTAGGCTACGAAAATAAACCCTAGATGTACCACTGTACACATACATAATCATTAACCATTATTCAATTGTAGTCATTCTAAAAAAGATTCTTATCGAATATCATTATATGCGTGCATATTTTTCTATTTTCTTTAATATAATCTAGTTTGAAGAAAATATACAATAATTGCGTACTAAACATAATTCTACTGAAGTAGGTATTCTGACATACACATAAAATCGTAAAATGATTTTCAATTTTTTTTTTAAACAATTTTTACTAAAATATAATCAAACACTTTACATTGATTTTGGCTTATGGAGGAAATGTTTCGTTGTACCTACCAGTTAACTTGTTTTTTATTTATTTTTCAAAAAAGGTAATGTGTTCTTAAAAACAGATACTGCACTACAACATGAAACATGATTTTAAACACTTGTTCAAAGACTGCATTGTTTCTAGCAATTAAAATGTACATATTTGCTAGTTTTACAATATCATTAGGAATACATTTCACACTCATACATTTTTTTACCAGATAATATTTTTTTACAATATTAAATGTATTCTATAGGTAATATTTTAGCGGTAAAGTATAATTGATTTTAGGAGTAATACAGTATTGTATATGCAGGGATACGTAATTAAATATATAATTGAAATGTAGTTTTACATGTATTAGGTATAAATAATTTGCCTCTTAAAGACTTAAAGTGTAAATAACATTGCAGGTTAAATTAGATTAATATTTAGATAATAGTTGGTATTTAGTATTTTGGAATAGGTTATATATTTAATTCATTATCATTATCAACGAATAACACATATAATATTAATTGAACGACGAGGATAAAATATAGGTAATATTTATTTAAGTTAGGAATTTGGACAAAATCCTAAAATGACCTAGATTAGATAAGGTTAGATTTCAGAATAGACTCAGTACGAGATAGGAAGGCAGTACGGCATTTTTTATACTCTTCTTTATAAGAAGCTCGAAGCGTAGAGAATTCAGCTTCAGCATAATATAGTAGACAGCTCGAAGTTTTTAATTCAGCATGTGTCCGTTTCAGGTTTCTTCCTGAAAACAATATGTTTGAGATTTGTAGAAAACCGTTTCGGTAATGTTTAAGGTATAGAATAAGACACTTCCGGAACAAAATTTAAAATTCAAAAGTGTAAAGCATTATAGATTGCATTAGCTGCCTCATCAACATCGCGAGACATTATGGTCTCTGACTACTTGAATGAATCTGAGATATATTTTTTGTACAGGGATCACGTTGGAAGTCAAAATAATTATGGGAACGGTCAAGTAAGAAGGAGACTTTATCCACCTTTATCATTATATCAAGATTGGATACGGTCAGGGTTATATGGATCACAAGGTACCTCTGAAGTTACAGCTTTTATGATATAGACTAGTTTATCGTTGGAAAATACAAGGTCCTAGGTACTCTCAAAACAGTTTTGAATGTTCTTGAGTTGGAAAAAATTAAAAGACTCAAAAGCATCAAGAACACATCAAACTCTAGGGAAATAGTATTATATATTAAACCAAAATCATCATCGTTGGACCATATATCATCTGATTCATCTGGCATATTGAAGTCACCACAAAAAAATAATACACATTCGGGGTGAAGGTGAAGAACAGATTTTACAAGTCTGGATATAAAAAAAGACTCGTAACCAGAAATCGTGCAATTAGGAGGAAATTACACTGAGCACACTGTCTACGTAGCTGATAATATTATAAAAACTAAGTTTAGCAAATAGATGCTCAACAATAGTAGGTGAAGTTTAAATGAAATTAGATACTGTATCACTACGAATGGCGATGAGAGCACCACTAACCCTAGATAAATTACTCAAAACTACGTCAAACTATTTCTATAATTTCTGTATATTATAATATAGTTGGTTGACCATTGACCAAGCTTACTATCATAGAAGCTGTCACATAGCCATGTTTCAGTGAAACAGATAAAAAAACATAATACAAAATAGTACATAACATTTTCAAATACTTAATTTGGTTCTTAGACCTTGGTAATTTTGATAAAAACCTAAGATAACTTGGTCACAAGTACATAAATCAATACATCAACAATAGTACTTACTATCATAATTATTGACTTGTACATCAACAGGACAAGCACTGATGGACCAACACGGAAAAGTTAGTTTTTTGGAGTGACATTTAGAATCATCTCAGACGTAAGATCCCCAAAAGCGTTTAATCATTACGCCATTGGGCCAAAATGTAAGTTTGAGGACATCATCAAGCTTCTTCACAGGTAGGCGCAAATAGAATGAGGAGTATGATGGGTGTCTTATAACCAATTTATTGATGGTCACATTTGAGTAACTATTGAACAATTCAGATTCATGCATATAGTAGCCCTAACACATATGGATCAAGTCTCGACGAGACGGAGATGTCAGCATGCTTCCGCACCGGTACTGACGTCAACTTGGACGTCCTAACCTAATCTTGAGATATAACAATGAATTTTGATTTTATGGACGAAGATAGATTAGTACTCAATTGGTTTGTGGGCTGTCTATAACGGGTATCCGTATCCAGCTAAGTGTGTACAATAATCGGAAAATTGTTGGGTTTAGCATTTGATTTTTAAGTTGAGGTACCATTAGCTGTTATATTGAGACGGTATAGCTTG